AGCGCGGCATGCAAGACATCGACGAGTGCCCCTTATACAAGGTGTGAGGAGTGAGGACGCTTGCGAGGGCAAGGGGGGGGAGGAAACGGGGAGACGCGGAGGGGGAATCGACAGACTTAGACAGAAAAAGCTCGATAGCTCAGGCAATTTCCCCCGAGATGGAGCAGATTCCAGAAGGGTGGAAGCGACGAGGAGGGCGAATGACGAGCGTGAGGGTGACGGTGAAACTGACGATGAGGGCGGGGGGAGGAGAGGCGACAGTGAGGGCGAGGGCGAGGGTCAGGAAATACGGGGAAAGATGCAGGGCGGATGTACATTGGTCAACCGCGGCATGTGCTCTGCTTCCAGAGCTGGGAAAACACATTTGCAAACTTGATCAAGTACACAGTCTGCAGATGCCTTCCGTCCAAAGGTGCTCTGACTTATTCTTGGTCTCAGCTGTGACATATTGTTGCCTGGCACTCGTGCCACCAAATAGGATACCGAGACGGCCAAAGAGGCTCCCTGTGCACACTCAAGGTGCCTCAAAGCGGCTCCAGAGGCACCCGGTATGCTTCCAGTGCCTGGGGCTCCCCAGGCTCGCCACCACGATGCGAATGGAACCTCAAAGGCGTACTTGCCACGACGACAGCGCCTTTCCTTGGACCCCTTCCCCGCTGCGTGGGGTCCCGCGAGGACGGTCGCACTGGAGGGGGTGCTGAGTGGGGGTCCCGGCGGCAGTCCCGCTCCCCTTTCCACCCACCCCCTCCATCCCTGGATCGACTCGCGCGATCATCGTGATCTGAACATTCTCGCCGCATCGGTCGGAAGATCGCACAAGACGATCCAAGAAACCCTCAAGACCGACCCAAGATGGCCCAAGAGGCACCCACCAGAAGCCCTGCAAGAGCGCCACCGTTACACCGCTGGAGGCCCACCCTTCTAGCAGTATCCCAACACCCCCTAGAGGTCAAGAAGAGGCCCGAGGTGGCCCCAAGACGCATTCAAGTGGGCCGAAGAAAATTCCCTAGGAGCCCCCAAAGATCTTCCCCAAAGAGACCTCAACGTGTCCCAAAGGCCTCTGCAACACGACTCCGGCGCAGGCAGCGGCCGGATGAGCCGATTGCCGCACGCTTTCACTCCACAAAGCCGCCACTGCTCCTTGGCACCCGCCCCCCCTTTTCCGCATCTTGCGCTCAGGCTGTTCACTTCTCGGGGTCGGCGCACTGGGCGTGAGATCTCTGCAGCAGGATCACGAAGTGCACCCAGGCAGTCCCAAGAGACACCCGATCCCCAACCCAGGACGGACCGGGAACTTTCTCACCGCCTCGCACACTTCGAAATCTTGCCGCGTGAACGAGACACTGTGACTGCAATGGCAGCCAACGTTTCAACGGCAGCTGGTCTGGCAGACGGGCTTGCAGCCGCCACCACCCTCTGAGGCGAAGGGGGAGGAGGACAATCCAGGACCGCCCACAAACCCCAATGTGCGCGTTCGGCCACGATGGAGCGGCACGGGCTCGCAGGAGGCGCTTTCGACCTCATGATTGTTGGCAAGCCCCGCTCCAGTCCAAACGCATCTCGGCACACGCTTGCACGATGACGAGCACGAAACATTCCAAGAGTGACCCAAACAGTGCGCACACAGATGCCGGCCCATCACCCTGGTCTGTCGAAGTACGAGGAGGCACGGGAGGACCCAAGAGTCCCAGAGCCCGCTTCCAGACCCCGGAAAGACGGGCCCACGACATTCGGATTCCGGCGGAAGGGTCAAAGTGTCTTGGAAGCCGCGAGGACAAACGAAGAGGCCTCCAAGATGATCCACGATGTCCTGAAACGCGCACGATGCGCCCACAAGGACGCCCCAAATGATGTCGTATCGTTCCGTTTCTGTTCGTCGGCCTCTCGTGTGTTGAACGGATCACCGTCGGGACACCGAGCAGCGGAGGCAACGACGAGCTCGACTCGACTTGCCCGTCAACCAACCATCCGCTCGTACACTTGCTCCCAGAGCCTGGCTTGTAACGTTGACGTGAACTGAAGGATGAGCAGGGAGATGGTCGGTAGGCGGAGAAAGAGCAGGATGCGCGCGCCCGAAAGGAGGGCGTCACCTCAGAAATCCAATTGATTTCAAGAGTCGGCTACGAGGGGAAGGCGCTGATGCGGAAGATGCTCACCCTCCAGAAGAACAGGACGTGTGCTCACACAACAGCAACAAAGAATCCAGAAGGGCACGTCGTCCTGGATTGATCTGGAGCGACATTTTTTTCGATAGGACCTGAGCCTCACTGGTTGCCAGGCAGCGAGAACACTGACGCAAACTTGCCAACTCGATTCCAGCCCGGATCGCCAATTTGACGGCACTTCGGGCGGGCAGAGCACAGCTTTTCAGGCTTACAAGGAGAAGGAACACGAGAAGCGCCATCGCGCTGCCACTCGGAACGCTTGCTCAGAAACGAGAAGGCTTTTCTGGCCACGGCGAGCCTCGGCCGCGAATAGACCCCACGACCTACACCTTAGGAACGGTCCGAAAACCAGAACACCTCCTCAAACCACAGGGGTCCTTATTTCAACGTCTTCTCTGTATGGGGGCAGGGAGAATGAGATTCACATGGGAATGCTCGGTTCCAGTGGCATGGACAAGGCCGTAGAAACAGTGCCCCGCAGCGCAGCATTAGGCCAAGACAGCCTAATAAACCGAGCGTGCTGATTCATTGATAGCGTCAACTGTATCAGCTTTCCTTCCTCTCCGCTCCATCCTCCCGCACGCACACATCGAAGAAGGACGGCTGGCCAGGAGGCAAACTCGATTACGGCGGCAAAAGGGGGCATGCCACTGAGTGCACGACGAAGTGGTATTTAGGTGTTGCGTGGCAGCCATTTGAAATGTGGCGCGGAGTGACACAGACTCTGCGCAGAAGTCTCGGAGCAGGCCGGCTGCAAGCTCGCCGCAGAGTAGCAGGACCGACAAGTGGTGGGTAGACACCACACTTCGGACCTGGAAAAAAATGAATGGCCTTGCAAACCGAAGGGGAATGCCTCGCATCAGCCCCTCCGAGGTCGAGTTCATCGATTGCTCACAATTCCGCCGACATGAGGCTCTTGACCATACCCCTGTTGATTGTAAGATCAAGATTGCAAGAACTTCCGACGCGGAGGAGCGCAAACGTGATTCGAGAGCTGCCGCCTGCGAAGCAGACTCGCGCATGCCGTGGGCAACTTACGCTGCCAGACCGCGCGGCCTCAGGAATGTAAGACCTGGTCCCACAGGGGTGAGACGTTGGGCCGTACTAGAAAAATATTTAAAAAATGCAGCAGTGGCGACGGGGTACCTGTTGGCTGTCTTGCACCGTATCTGCCGCATGCTGAAGCCAACCCGCTTACAAAGTGCGTCTGCGACGGCAGCAATATTGCCCCAAGACGGGCACAAGACGGCCGAAGGATCTCCAGAGATGTCTCCAAGAGACCCTTAGAAGCTTCCAAGAGGCTCCCAGCAAGCCCTTCGGCAGGGCCAAGGAACAACGGAGTGGTCACCGCACTCGGTCCTACACCAACGGGATGTCGCAACAACATGGTAGCCGCCCGAAAGATGAATCCTCACGACCGCCCTCACATCCGAAAGTACATGGGATATGGTCACTTCGCCAGCACTGGCAAGCTTGTGCACGGCGCAGCGAAGCATAGTCTTGGAACACATGCTGGTGAGAAGTGCAGGTGCAAGCGAATCCCACCAGCCCTTGGGGCTAAGGTGGTCTAGCGATATCGTGTATTTTTTATATATATATATATATCCTCTTCCAAAATCACCTTCCCTTCGGGGAGGGGTATCCTCCTCCTCCCCTTTCTGTTTTTGGGGCGGGCCACGATGTGGCAGAGGTTCCTTTTCGCTCAGGATGACTTCAAGAGGGCCTCACATGCTGCCAGATGGCGCCTAAGGCGGCTCAAGGTAGCCTACTATGATTCTAGATAGCTTCTGGCATACCTCCCAGAGGCCCGACGAGGGCCACAAGACGCTTCCGAGTGCTCTTGGAACCCCCTCAGGACCTCCCCAAGAGGCCCAAATCCTGCAATCACTCAAGGAACGTCATTGTTGTTTGTTTTTTTCGCCTTTTCGCTTCCGATCCGTTTGAAGCATCAAGACGGCCCCAAGATGGCCCAAGAGAGGCTCAAGAGGGGCCGAAGAGACACCCAAGACAGCCCCAAGAGCGCCCAAGCTCACCCCAAGAGCTATCCAAGAGGGCCCCAAGAAGCGATTGCGAGGGCCTCAGAGGGGGGGGGGGGGGCGGGCAAACGCTTCGACAACCCACTTTGGATCGATAGCCTCAAACATGGCCTCAAGAGGCCCTCCAGGGCTCCCACGAGGGCCCCAAGAGAGCCCCAGGACGGCCCAAAGAACGCCCAGGAGCGCCCCAGGAGCGTCCCACGAAGGCCCCAAGAGGCAGTGTGCCTCCTCCTCCTCCTTCTCCTCCTCCTCCTTCTCCTCCTCCTTCTCCTCCTCCTCCTTCTCCTCCTCCTTCTCCTCCTCCTCCTCCTGCTCCCCTCGTCCCCATTCTCCACGGACTCACGGAACTTTGTTTCACGATGCGTGTCTCTTCGCCCCGTTCCCCGTCAACTCTCACGGGCAGGGTTTCTGAACGAGCCGGGGGGGGGGCTAAACGAGGCGTGAAGAATAGCCAACCCAGCAACAATTGCGCTTGGGCACAGAGCTCTGCAGAGCGGCAGGGCAACTGGCGTCGCCTACCACCGGGAGCGCAGCGCCCGCCAAGCTCCGCCAAGGAGGGGGGCTACTCGCGCACACCCAGATGGTGAGGGTGACTTTTCCGGTAAGACGGGCATGCATGTTGAGCGTCACGCAAAGGCGGCTGTGATGACCCTGCCGCTGCTCTGCGAGCCCGGGCGCGACAGCGACCCAGGAGCTCGACGTCCTGGCCTGGCGCGGCGGGGCCGCGCCGTGACGTACTGCTTGCGCCTCGCGCCCTGGACTCTCGTCGGCCAGTGGGGCCTCTGCGCTCCGTGGTGACCTAGATTGCCAAACAGCTCGATGCAGACATGCGACCTGCGTCCCTCAAACAGACGATAGAGCGTTCGAGGGGGATCACATTCGCCTGAACCATAGCGTTGAACAACACCACTGCGTCATCCACGCGCTGCAGGCTTATGCAATAAACGATTGCGTTGTGGTAGTCTTGCCCATTGAACTTCAGGCGCTGGCCATGCATCGTCTCCAAGACGGACACGGTATCCTCGAAGCGGTTAGACCGTAAACTGGCGTTGATCGCGATGCGGTATGTCTTTATGTCGGGCGTCAATCCGCGATCGGCCATCTGAGCGAATAGCAGCCCAATCTCATCGTACATGCCGAGGTGATAGCAAGCACCCAACACTGAATTGTACGCAACCTTGTCAAGTGTGATTCCTAAATTACCCGTCTCACCGAACAACGCCAACACCATCTCTGGATTCGACCGCTCGCTAGATATGATCAAGGCGAAATACGAAAGCCGGCTGATCAAGAATCCGTCGCTCTTCATCGTCAGGAGATACTTTACGACGCTCTTCGGAAGTTTGCTCTTCCACGCCTTGATCAAACGGTTCTGGATAGCTGTAGACGGCGCAAGGCCGTGAGCTTGAACTGCATCAAACAGCGACAGCCCGTCTTTCCGAATGCGCACGTCACAGAGGTTGTCGGAGACCAAATTGAAGAATTTGTCGACTATGGCCTTGCTAATGAGGTGCGCGTCGTGACTGACGCCCTCCTGCAACATCTGGTCGAACAACTTCAGGGCTCTGTCTACATCTTGGAACCTGACGCAAGCAAACATCACTTCCGATAGTGTCGGAACCTGGACGGAGCTCTCACTTTGCGTGTGGCCAGTGCCACGCATGTCAGACGACAAACGCACAGTGTGTCCCACTAGGTCTCGTGAGTACTTGGAGCCGCTATTGCAAAGCTCATGCGGCGACACACGGTCCCCAATTGGGACCGCACGCCTGGCGGTATGCCCACCACGGGGCGCATCCTTGACGAGCATCGACTTCTTGGTGATCACGGCCTTCATGTTGGAAATCCACCCTGCGGCGTGGGGAATTAGGAGGTATGCCGAGATCACCACCTCTGGAAGATACTCTTTATGGAGCCACATTTCGACGAAGCTGCAAACGAACGTAGACATCACCTGCCCCAGCGCGAAGAAGCCCACACATAATACGAGAATGCGAAAAGAAGACTCGTGGGCGGCACGCCCCGACGCAACATTCTGCATTGTACGTTGAATACTCGTCGGTGACATGTCCCCTTGGCTTCCTTACGAAATTGGGAATGCGAGTGCAAATATCAGTGCTCGCTAAGCGCGGCCCGACTTATACCGCATCTTGAGGCAAAACGGCCACGCACGTTCCACGCGTTTCAACAAGGGAGTGCGTGAACGCGCGGGGTAGTGCGGGCACATGCAAGAACATGACGTCACACTGACGGTCAGTGCGCTGCCGGCGAGTCCAGGAAAGGACGACCCCCCGTGGCGAACGAGGGACCTGGAGAGGAGTAGGCAAGGGGAACGTGCACTCCATTCAGTTTGCTGCCATCGCCGTAACTCACGCACCGCATGCGTTCATCACCTGGTCCACGCCTGGTGTGTTCGGGAACTTTTGGATAGCGTCAGACCGGGCATGTCCCCCTGTAGGCGGATTTTGGACGACTCATACCCCCCATAACTCAAAAAACATCGTCCCCAAACTATGTTTTTTTGACAATTTTGGAATATTCCCCCTGTAGAGGGACAGGCCCGCCTTAACGCTATGCCCTGCGGGTAGATGGCGTGTCGCTCCGCTCCGCGGGGCGGCACAAGCTCGGAGAAAAGCTCGGCACGCGGTCGGCTCCGGGACCCCCGAAGTGGATATATATATATATATATATACATATAGCGTGTCGCAGCGGGGCGCGGTGGGCCAGAGCCCGCGGGGCGACACGCCATCCCAAGTTCCCGACCGCATTGCAGCGCGACCTGCAAGGGGTCGACGAGTGCCACCCATGCGCGGCGTGAGGCGTGGTGACGCTTGCGAGAGACGGGGGGACGCGGAGGGAGAATCGGCAGGATTCGAAACAAAGGCTCCACAGGCACAAGCAGTTTCGCCAGAAATCGACGAGATTCCACAAGGGTGCGGGCGACGGGGAGGGCGAATGAGGAGCGTGAGAGTGACGGTGAAACCGACGTTGAGGGTGGGGGGAAGAGAGGTGACAGTGAGGGCGAGGACGAGGGCTAGGACAGACGGGGGAAGTTGCAGGGCGGATGCACATTGGTCCACCTTGGCATGTTTTCTGCTTCTGGAGCTGGGAATACAGACTTACACAAACGTGATGAAGCACACAGCTTGCAGTTGCTCCTCATGCACACCCAGGGCGCCTCGAAGCGGCTCGAAGCGGCACCCTGTGCTTCCAGCGAGGCGCAACAGGACTCGAAGCAGCAACCCGGCAAGTCCCGCATCCGCCGACCCTGTCGACGTGTGAGAGGGTTATGTTGCCCTATCGTACTTAAGGGCCCAATCCCCAAAATACGTCCGAACACCCAGAAAAGTACCGAAACCGTGCTGAACGAGTGTCGCCTCCCAGGGCCCAGCACGTGAGCACCCGCCAGTTTCGGTGGTGTCTTGGTGCTGGCATTTCTTTCTGGTGATCAAGGCTAAGGTAGGCTGGAACATCATGATGAGAGGGCTGGCCCCGGGGTGAGCAGACGCTTTATCCATCGGAAGCTCTCCCTCCTCTTGCCTGCGGAGGCCGCCCGGGGCTCCCCAGGCTCGCCGCCCCGAGGTGCATCGACTCAAGACGCCGTTGCGTCGACCAACAAAACCCTCCCGAGGACCCCTTCCCCGCTGGGTGGGGTCCCACGAGGGAGGTCCAGCAGGAGGAGGAGGAGGAGGAGGAGGAGGAGGAGGAGGAGGAGGAGGAGGAGGGAGGAGGAGAAGGAGGAGGAGGAGGAGGAGGACGAGGAAGAGGAAGAGGAGGAGGAGGAGGGGTTCTGGGGGGAGGTCCCGGCGGCGGTCCTGGCCCCCCCACCGCCCATCCCCTCAATCCCTGACGTGGCTCGGGCGATTATCGTTATCTGAACATTCTCGCAGCATCAGTCTGAAGATCGCGCAAGATGACCCAAGAAACCCCCAAGACCAGCCCAAGAGGCCCCCACAAGAAGCCCTGAAAGCGCGCCACAGTCACACCGCTGGCAACCAACCCTTCCAACGGTATCCCAACACCCGCTAGAGGTCCACGAGAGGCCCGAGGAGACCCCAAGACGCACTCAAGTGGTCCGCGAGATCCGTCAGGAACCCCCAAAGAACTTTCCCAAGAACCGCCAAAGTGTCCCAAAGGCCTCTGCAACAAGTCTCAGGCGCATGCAGTGGCTGGATGGGCCAAAGACCGTTAAATCGCACTCAACAACCGCCGCTGCCCTTTAGCTCCTACCCCCCTTTCCGCATCTGGCGCTCAGGCTGTTCACTCCTCCAGGTCGGCGAACCTGGCGTGAGGCCTTTACAACATGACCTCGAAGTGCACCCAGGCGGACCCAAGAACATCGAAACACCGCCCAACACAGCCAGGGAATCGTCTCGCCCGCCTCACCCTCCGAAACCTTGTGGCGTCAACGAAGCATGGTTTTTGCAATTGTAGCCGACGTTTCAACAACAACTTGCCTGGTAGACTGGCTTGCAGCCGTCACCACCCTCTGAGGAGAAGGGGAAGGAGGACAACCCAGGACCCCCCTACAAACCCCAGAGCCATTCCCCCCAAATGACCACTCAGATCTCGACATTCCTGAAGAGGTGGCGATCCCCCAACGGAACACCTCGACCATGTCAAATGGGGGCCGCTACAAAGGACTAAAGGGGTCGCCTCCATCTCCTAGGGAGCCAACAGGACCCCCAACGCACACGAAAGCCACTAAAAGCGCCACCAAAACGGTCAAACTCACTCTGGAACTTCGAATTCCAGGAGGAGGTGGCGACGCCCCCCTCAAAAGTCAACACTCTGACAAGACGGCCCCCTCAACTCCACTTACGGAACGGGCCCCCTTGTTGGCCACAGCAGCGCACAGTTCTGTGGAGGACCAGATGTAGAACTTGAGGAAAGGCCTGGAGAGCCCCGAGCCCCTCCCATACCCGAAGTGGGCGTGACTCCACCGATTTCAATGCAGTGGCGGCGCCACTTGGAGCTCCCAAGGCCACCTTGCGCACTCTGAGCGCGTCGCGCGCGCGGCGCACCTGGAGCGCGCTGCACACGTGGAGTACGTTGAGCACGCGGCGCGGCGAACTGGGTGCAGGGCGCGCCTGGTACGGATGGGCACCTGGGGCGCCTGGCACGCCTGGCGCGCCACTTGAGCGACGCATCCCCTGACGCCTGCACTGGCTCCGAATTCCTGATCCACCCGATGGCGGCCTCTCGAGTCGCATGGCCCATCGGATGGCGACTCCTGCCGAGGCTGAGTCTCGGGTGCTGCTCATGTGGGGGAGCGCGGGTGGAATTGACGAGACAGAGCGTCGTGCTCTCGTTTGGGACTTGACCCCTCTCCCCACCTCCTCCCGCGCGGTCTGGACGGGAGGGGTCTTGGTGGTCTGATGGGTGTTCTCGAGCAAACCATAAGCATAATCATAATGAAAGGGGCCGAGCGGTTGTGCGATGCGGGCTGTTGTTGTTGATGCTGGTGCTACTGTTGCTGCTGTTGTTGTTGGTGTTGTTGTTGGTGGTGTTGGTGGTGTTGTTGTCGGTGTTGGTGTTGGTGTTGCTGTTAATGCTGTTGTTTAGTTGTGGTGGTTGGCATTGTTGTTGTTGTGGTTGTTGTGGTTGTTTGTTCGTTGTATATTGTTTGTTGATCGTTTTCTGTTGTCATCGTCCCCCCCCCCCCGCGACGCGCTCCGCGACCCGCCCGCGACCCGACCTGCGATCCACCCGCGACCCACCCGAGATCCACAACGCGACCAACCAACGACCCAGCCGCAACCCACCCCGCGACCCCGCCGCGACCCCCCCGCGACCCACCTGCGACCCCCCGCGACCCACCTGCAGCGGGCCCGCTGTATAATTTGAAAAGAAACTGGGCGCCTGCGGCGGGCTTCTTCCGAGTCTCGCAGGCTGCCGACGTCCCCGCCGCCCCTTCACTCTTACCCGCAACTGCGAATGCTACGTACAAGCGCGAAAACATGCTAGCCAACGCGAACCCAAAACACAAACATATTGCATTTTGCGTGGTGCAGCTTATGTGGTACATCCAATGCAGGACATGCTATATAGTGCAATATGCGTGGTGCAATATACGTGGTGTTTCGTGAGTGGTGTAAACTATGTGGTGCAAATCACTTGCCGAACTTGAAGTTGTCAACTCCACTGCTCGCGCAATCATCCCACCCACCCACCCGCAACTGGTTTGCAAAACCCATGCGGGACCGAGCACAAATATCGCTCCGGGGTCGTCTTGGAGCCCTCGGGGGCGTCTCAAGAGCGCTCCAAGAAGGCCGGAGAAGCAAGACGGCCGACGATGACGACGACGGCGGCGACGACGACGACGTCGACGTCGACGACGACGAAAACGACGACGCCGACGCCGACGACGACGACGAAGACGACGACGACGTCGCCAACGAAGACGACGACGAGGGAGGAGGGAGGACGACGACGGCGACAACGACGACAACGACGACAACGAGGGAGGAGGGAGGACGGCGACGACGCGAAAGACGAAGAAGGAGGAAGGACGGCGACGCCGACGACGACAACGACGGGGGAGGAGGGAAGACGACGACGAAACGACGACGACAACGACGACGACGACGGCGACGAAATAGGAGGGACGACGACGAGACGCCGACGACGGACGACGACGACGACGACGGAGGAGGAGGAAGGACGACCACGGCGACAACAACGACGGAAACGACCACGACGCCAAAGAGGACGACGACAACGAACACGAGGAAACACACAGGACGACGTAGGCGACGACGACGACGACGCGGTAGGAGGGAGGACGGCGACGACGACGTCGACGACGACGACGACGACGACGCCGCAAGAGCGCGCGCGCACGCTTTTGTTGAAAATCCGTGTTGCGAACCCTTGTGTTTCTGTAAGTTTTTTGGACGCGCGATTTTGAAATCTTTCCGAAACCGATGGGTTTTGAAGGATTTCGGCGTACGCGCGCGACGACGCGCGCGCCTGCACTTCGTCCAGTTTTTTGCAGAGGATTCTCGCGACGGCACACGCGCAAGGGCGTTCAACAGATTTCGACATGCGCGCGCGACGCCCGTGTGG